AATAGAAAACAGAGAGAACGGGTAGTGGTAAAAAATATGTTTTACGTAAACTACTCAATATAAAGTAACCTTCGTGATAGGCGTTACCAGCGGGTTATACGGTTCACGGGTTAGAGGATCAGCTTTCCTCTTTCTGGCGTACGGCAAGGCCCGAAGATTCGCATAGTCGGGCCCCCCGTCGATGTCTGGAGGCCTTGACTGGATCCCTTCGGACCCAACTCGAGGCTCGGTATGCCCGACGGTCCTTCTCTCCCCTCCTTTTTCTCTTTCTCTCCCTATCACTCTCTCTCTCTCTCTCTCTCTCTCTCTCTCTCTCTCTCTCTCTCTCTCTCCTTCTCTTTTCATTTCGCACAAGCTCAAGGCACTCGTCTCATGGTAGACAACCTCGTACACGAGGATTGAACGCGCGAGCGCAACTCTTTCGTGCCTGCCGGCGCGTGTTTTTTTTGTATTTGAGGTTCAAACCTCTGTGTTGTGTGAATACATGTACGTGCATTCGCCATGTTGTATTATATCTATATGTACATATGTACGTGTTATCTCGGTATAATACGTATAGCTATACCTTCCTTAGCGACCGGAACAGGTAGGCGAGTAGAACGGTATTTGTCAAGCAACGAAGAAGACGACGAAGACACCGTACTCCTTCAACGGTTAACAACCTTATCTCATTCATTCATTTTCTCTTTCTATTAATTCGATATCACTCGAAGTCGATTTAACTGACCGTGAAATAATAGTACTCATCTGCATATATTAGAGATTTGATGGTAAATTAATTGCTATGCGTTGGTTTGATCAGTCAAGAAGTAATGTTAGGGTTTTCAATACTTCTTCTTTTTTTTTTTTTTTTTTTTAATAAATTCAAAGTAAATTCAATTTGAATTCAAATGAAATTTGAACTGACAATTTGAAAATAAGTGTAAGAAATGAATATATAAATATATACACACACACACATATTTTTTATTACCTATTCGATAATAAAAAAGCAAAATATGCCGAAAATGTTGCTTTTAATTCTACATATTTGATAGGAAACCAACAAAAAACAATTGCATAGAATCAAACAAAATTGTTTAAAAATACGCCTTCAAATGTTATCTGGCGAAATATATAATAACAATATGGTTTAGAATGAATTTAATTGCTTAGAAATACAATTAATGCGTTTGTTTTTTACAAAGGAATTAATCGTATTATGAAGTTTTAAATTACCTAAACACGTATGCTTTTATAAATTACAACATTCTTCATATTGCGATTTTGTGTTAAAAAGTAAGATCTTCAAATTACCAGAACTTTTTAAAAAGATACCAATTTTACGATTTTTTCGAGAATCTCAGTCTTTATTTAATTTCTTTTGCAAAAAAATGTATAATTCGTCAGAAAAACGAAACGCAGAATCGACCGTATAGCGAAGAAATGCGAAAAAAGAGAGATGGAAGGATAATGGTGTGAGAAAGTTTCTCTCTATCTCTCTCTCTCTTCCTCTCTATCTATATATATATATATATTTCTCTCTTTCTCTTTCCCCCCATTCCATGGTCGGGACGTAAATTTATCACGACGTTATCTCGCTCGTTGGAACGACGTTCGTTAATTTTATCCCAGCCTTTCAGGCCGGTGTATGTCCCCCTTCTGAACCCTACCACCACCTTAACCTCCCTCTTTCCCTTTGGATACTTCGCCTGTTGCGCATTCTGTACCTTTCCTTTCTATTTTTTCTTCTTTTATTCTTTTTTTTATTCCCTCGTCGGTACGGAACAAGGACCAGGTAAATCGAAGATGAGAATTTCGCAAGAATCGAAGATGGCGTCTATTCGTTAATAAAAATCATTTATCCATTTAATTCGTATTCTGTAATATTTTTTTTGTAAAATTTCCTCTTGTGTCCACGTCAGTCCCGTATAATGTAAAATCTCGATTACCAGTAATGATTAATATCGTGAGAAAGGAAGTTATCATGATAATAATATTTATTAACCTAGCAATAGTCTCACGATAGTTCAACTGTAATAGTCATAAATTTAATTAAGATTAAGAATTCGTAGAAGTCGATCCCCGAGACAGGTTCTGGTTCTTCGACTTTGTCGTCTGTCTTGTCTTCGTCTGGATTTCTTTCTCTCTTTTCCTTAATGTCAGTTCTTCGTTTTTAATCGAGTACCAATTAAATATCTTACCTCTTCTCCATTAAATTCCACAAGGAATTTAAGTATCAGTATTTTTCTTTCGATACTTAATTATTATATCGACGATAATTCTTTCAAACTTTCTAAAATATTTGTTTATCATTAAAAAGTATTTATATATATATATAAATATATATATATATATATATATATATATATATATATATATATATACAGCAGATTTAATGAAATATATCGGATATAAAACATAAAGAACGAGTTTTAATGGGGGAACATTGTGAGAACACTTTATAATATATTTGTGTATTAGAATTAAAACAAAGAAAAACCGGTAAAAAAGGTAGTCACAACAATAACGACGACGACGACGATGATGACAACGTTAATGATGATGATGAGCCAATCACCAAGAGGAATAGCTTAATCATCACGTTTGCGTTAATTAACCCTCTCTCATTAATACGAATCGATCGTACAAAAATGATGATCAATGTATCGGTGGTCCAATTACATTCGAAAAATACATACTTATTTATTTTCATCTGTTGTCAAATAAAGAGATACAAGAATAAAATGGGGAATGAGTTGGAAAAGGCGATGGAACTTGAACTTTCGATGAATCTTTTGTTTTTTCTTTTTATGCTTTGCCATTCCTCGTATGCTTCGTATACGTAGAACGTAAGGTACATACACACATATACATAGATACACACGCACAGGTACAGATACACAGACATATATATATATATATTTATAATACGTAGATACAACGCTGGAGTTCTCGACTTCGAATCCTCTTCGCTTCTCTTCTTCTTCGACCTCCCTTTCTTCCTTGGCCGTCCTCTTAATCTTCCTTTAATTCTCTGGCTTCCTGTTTCTTTATTTCCTTTTTCCACTGTTTCTTTCGTTCGTCCTCTTATGTTAGTCCTCATCCCATCTTCACTCCTCCCTATTCCCTCTTCTCCTTTTCTTTTTTCCTTCTCTTAATCTTCACTGCTACCCTCTTTGTACTCACTCCTATCTTTCGTCCTGACTCTCTTTCTTTCTTTCTTCCTCTCTTTCTTTCTTTCTTTCTTTCTTTCTCTCTCTCTTTCTCATCTTTTCTTTCGTTCTCTCGTTCGCCAGCTCGTTCGTCGACTCTTCCTTCGGTTAGACAGATCCACGCCGACAGGTTTCAAACTGTCTTCAGCGGATGGTGGTAGACTCACGAAGCAACGCTCGCTAATCCTTTTTATTCCTTTTCTCTTTGAAATGCGTGGCATTACGTTAAGAATTTCAAATTACTTAGAGACGTATTCTCATAATATATGATTTATGTGTGTGTGTGTGTGTGTGTGTGTGCGCGTACGTGCTTGCGTGCGTACGTATATGTGTATGTGTGCATATAGATATAAGAAAAATTTTCGATAAAGATGTCAGTATCTTTATCGAATCTCATTTTCTATACCACGATACGATATATCACGAATTTAAAGTGATATTTCAACGAACTTTAGCTTTTAACTTCTCGTTGATTTCGGAAGAAGCAATCGTAGATAACTTACATACATGCATGTTGATTTATCGTAGAAGAATGAAATACGTAGACTACACCTACACTTGCACGTTGCAGAAGCGATAAAGAAAATTCTATATCTAGTAGAAGCGAGAAGGAAACAGGTTCGACCTACGCGAATTGATAGATCCACGGCTTTGGCCGATGTTCTAACATTAGAAAGTTTCGTTTATACGCTTAGTTAATCTCCACCGACCTTAGATTATTTGTCTTCGTTAGATCCATGAAGCTATGAAAAATGCATTCTAGTTTATCTAGAAACGAACGTGAACTAGGCAAAGTGGTTTTTGATTCTCAGGGCTGTGAGAAATACGATAATTATCATATGTTTTTATAAGTATACGTACACACACACACATGTGTACATGCATACATAGGGTGTCTCAGAATAAATGAAAAATATTTTAGAGGTGGCTTCAACAATAAGTTAAAAAGGATTCATAAAAAAACGTATGACCCATTTGATTTCGTTTTCAAATTATAGCGGATTTGATTTTCAACAAGCTTTATATCTGGTTACTTTCATACAAAAGACATTCGAAATTGACCTACTCGCATTTGAATACCAGCCTGCAGACGTCTTATCAATGACCGTCTTACTTTCTCCATATGTCCAGATGTTACTCGGATTTGCTGGTTGCTTTGTTCAATTCTCTCTTTTGAAAAGTTTCGACACAGTCAATGGATATTTTGTAAGTTCAACCAAAGAAAGAATTATTACTATAACTGGGAAATAAAATTTAGTTGGACATATGCATGAATCTTTTTTTTTTAGATGTGATCATTCCTAAAATATTTTCCATTTATTCTGGTACACCCTATATATTGTACATACCTATTTCAACGAGCATAATGTTACATTCACTATTATATAAAATGTGCGTCAAGATTGTCCGTTCTATTCTGCTGATATTTTCACTCTCCGTACCGTTTCCTAGTTTACGACGTGCCTCGTTAACTGCCTTCCATCTCTCAGAACTTAATCTCAATTACGTAGAATGTATTCGTTTTATTACTATATCTATCAGTTTATGTTACAAGTAAATAACGAAGGAATAGCATAATGATTAATACGAAATCGAACAAAAAAGGACAGTTAAGTTCCCTAAGAATCAGATTTCTATTTAATAGAGATTAAAAATGTCCGAACAGATCGATCAAAAAATGTCGAATACCTGAGGGGTTTTATCTCGGAGAACGGAGTCTCTATCAATCATTGTAAATCAAAAAGGAACAAGAGAAAAGAAAAAAAAAGAAAAGAAAAAAAAAAAAGAAAAGGAAAAGAAACTTACCAGAAGATTGACAGCTCTAGTGTGATCGTCTACCCAAGCGAGAAGAATGTCCGCTCCCTTCATGTGACTCTTCTCGTTGAATCCAATTCCAACGTAGCCCAAGGTTCTCGCAGTTATCCTGAACGTGATCGTCTCCTCGTCGGTAGGATCCCATTCGAGGATGACGTTACCATCCTCGTCGAGTCTCTCATACCTCGGAAATTTTCTTTCCTTTGTGCTTCTCTTTGATCTGATCACGTCGGCATCTTCGTTGGATGGCATGTAATAACCCTTGCCGATGTATGATTCCTTTGGGACCTTGTCGAAGCCCGGAAAATATTTCTTTGGCACGCGACTCCATGGTTTCGGAGCTTTCTTATAGGTGGTCTCACTGAAAACTGTGGAAGCCGACAAAACTTTTTCAATTTCTTCTTCTTGTTCTTGTTCTTGCTCTTCTTGTTCTTCTTCTTCGTTAATGATTTCGATATGATCAGGTTTCTCGTCGTTTTCTATTTTTTTCTCTACAAATTTCCAATCTTTAATAATTTCGACGTTTTCCTTTAATTCATCTAAATTTGGTTGCAACTCTTCAAGACTATCGTTCGACTCGTCCAATTCTATATTTTCTTTAGTGCCGTTACCATCAATTCGCGATCCATTTATCATGGATTCTATTTCGACAGAAGCGTCATTATTTTCGTCGGCCATAGTCATAACCATTGTTGTTTCTTCGGTGTTCAACGAAATATTATTTTCCGTTGAGTTTTTCATTAACTCGTATTGATTGGGATCCATATTTTCTTCTCTATCGTTCGGAAAATCGAGCCCGTCTTCTCCGTACGGTATAAGTTCCTTGTTCCTTTGCTTCCAATATTCCTCGTCGACATCCAGACGTTGTTTTTTGAACATACTCTGAACTCTCAACAGTGGCTCATCTTGTAGACTACGTTTTAACCTGCTCGAATGATTCTTAGAATTATGCGTCTTCCTATACGCCAGCGTCCTCATTGTCTCGTCCATGTGTTGGACGTATAAATCCAACAAATCGCACTCAATCGACGAGCATACACCAAATATCACGATTAATCGGAGTATCAACATTTTCTCCATTTTCTTCTTCTTCTTCTTCTTCTTCTTCTTCTAAATTTCTTATACTTTATACAGTCATTTGATCGGTTTCTGTTTTCACTCGTTTCACTCCTTATGATTTTTAAAAATTATCAGACACTATTCTTATTTTGTCTTTTATATTAACAACGAAATATTTTTTCAATATGTCAGTCTGTCAGTGTCATTTTAAAATAAGTATTAAATTAGAATAACATCGCAAATAAAATGAATCCTTTCTTTATCTTATCGCCAAAAATACCTATCTTTGAACATTTTACGAGCACAAATTTCAACAAAAGTTGATATCATTCGTATTTGAAATTAGTATTACTGATTATTTCCTCGAAATTGTAGTAACGTACTTCGATACATGTTGCACGAACGACAGTTGTGTCGGGACTAATTCAAACATAAGGCTGATCACGGCTGCCGCTCTCCCTGCAGATGCTCGCAGCTGCTTACCTGCCGTTCGTCCCCTTCTTTGGGCCCTGTTTCAGGAGCGTATTTTACCTTTAGAGTGCCCGCGAACGCAACCCTCTTACAATCTCTCTCGAAATCGTATACACCTCATAATATTATATATATTATACATACAATACAAAGTCAACGTTTCATCGTAAATTAAACGTGTGTTTTTAAATAGGTTTGTTCATTTTTTTTTTACAATATTTAACGTTGTTTTTGATTGTAATTTATCTTTTTAATTAAGTTACACATAGACGCACACATGAATGTATGCGAATAAATATTCAATATGTTTATGAATTTACTTAGGAGATTTACGTAATATTAATTAAATATATAGAATACCGTGAGATATTTATAAAAAAAAAAAATTGAAAATACATTTACGAATAATCGTATTACGAAATACATTTAAAAATGTAAATAGAATAAACAGATGATCTAACAATTGTTTTCGTTAGGATCTTTATATTTTACTTTCCTAAAAGATATCTTTTACTTTAGCGGTAAAGAGGAAGAATCCTTTAGAATGAAAAAAGGAAATGCGTTATAAAGATTCTGACATCGCTTCCTGCGGAAGCGTTTCTTTTTTGTAACCAGAGACTCACACATCGATGGGTTGTACTGTTCTAGTAAGAAACTGAGGGGCTGCAAAACCAAATGCGGCAGATGCGAGCCCTTGGCACGCGCCCTTCTGTTCATCAGTGATTCTCATTCGGCATTGTGATATCGGAAAACGGCAAAGTCTATACGAAATGTATTTACTATTCCCATATATATATATATTAAAATATATATTAAAAAAACATATATATATATATATATATATATAAAATGATTCAATAATCTAATATATATATATATATATATATATATATATATGTATATGTATTAGATTATTGAATCATTTTATATATATAATGTTTTTTTAAACTTATGATGAATATGGAAAATGATGAAGCGTCGATCCTTCAATCTTCTTATAAATGTTTTACTAAACGTTGTTTATTTTCTTTTTTCATTTACATATTGATATTCGTAACGTTTAATCGCTTTATCTTCGTCCGGTCAGTAACCGTTTTAAAAGTGTTATTATGCTTAAGCGTTCGCACGTGTTCGGAAGCCAACTGTATCGCGTTACTTCCTGTAACTGACATGGAAACATTATACTTTACGTAGGAGAATTTAACGATCTTTATTTTTCTACGAATACACTTGCTTTACAATCGATATACATAAATATCTATAATAAGATATTTATTTAATTAATATTAATTAAAAATTCTATTTAACATCGTTTTTAATTACAAACAAATTATCTTTCATTATTATACATAATATTTATTTGTTCTCGAATATTTTAATGGTTAATCATTATTAATTATCAATTAAAAATGTGATAATTAAAATTAATATAATTTTTTTATCATTTTATTCATAATTCAATCGTAAATGGTAATAATATAACGACATTAAACGGTACGAATTAACTTATAGTTCGGTTAATTATAAGGTGCAAGGAATATTTCGAGGATACTGATCATTAAGCGGTTTTAATAAATGGCATTTAATAAGTCATAAATCGGATCATCGTCGGTAAAGACGACTTGTCCCGATTGAATTAATTGTCCGCCAGAAACCAGTTTTGCTCATGGAATCATGCATCCAGCAACACGAATTTGGTCTTCGTTCTTTAAAGCTTCGTCCTTTCTTTGTCGAAAATAATTTTTTTTATTTTCTTTTTTTTTTCATTCCTATGTACAAATGTATGGTTCAGTGTCGCGCGAGTTAAGACTCGTGTCGTCTTAGAAGATAATTCTAATTTACGGACAGAATCAAGAAAGATAAAACGATTATCGTCTTTGTAAAGTTTGCTTGTTGAAAAAAAAAAAGCGGAAGAAAAAATAAAAAATTAAGGAAAAAAAATTAAGAATTATTTTCGACGTTTTACATTTTATGTACAGCGAATTTTGTTATTGCAATGCGTCAAGAACAGGAAGTTCTAAAATACAAAGTTTTCGAGGAATTTCCTTTTGTCTGATTCTACTATTGTCACGAAAGGTTCCTTTATATTATAGTTATACCATTGTACCGAAAGATACGTGTACACACGTAACCATTCACGAAGACGATCGCCATCGACATTTTCTTCTCTTTGAAGAGATATTCGAAGGACTGCTTTGATTTGTTTGAAAATCATTTCTATATTATATATATATAAAATATAGAAATTTCTTTGAAAGGATTTAAAAAAAAAAATCATTATAAATAAAAATGAGATATTGTACCTGTTAATAATTAGTTAAATATCACATGGTCATATTCTCCATTATGATTCTAGTTAACTTTGAATGAAAAAATACTGAAAAAGACTGACGAAGAAGATACTCGTATTCCTAACATGAAGAATATTTTCGAGAAGCTCAACCACGCACTGTTCTCATGGACGAGCCAAGGGGAGCCTTTTAGTATTCAGCGAGATCGTTCGTTGTCTTCTACGCAGCTTATTTACCAGAAGTCATGATATCAACTCGGAAATCGCTTTGTCCTGGGAAAACCCAAAGTGTATAAAGATATGAACGTATAAAGCATAATAATCAAAGAGACAAGTCTCCTTTTGTTTATTTTGCTTTTATTTGTTTTTTGTTTTTGTTTATTTTTTAAATTAACTAATCTATTTCTCCGTATCGTTTGGATCGATAGTATAACATCATTAATTCTTATAGAGCTCCAGCCAGACGTCTCGACTTGAAAAAAAAGGACGTGAATTTGTCGGACTTCATCCCTTTCTCGGGTTTCCGTCATAAGATATTAACTCTAAGCAACCCTCGAGTCTTCATAAAAATCTAGATATATACATGTATATACGATATATAATATACATAATCTGAAACAGATTTTAGCGTTATCAATAAAAAATATGTATAACTAAAAATATCTCGTTGTATATAAATACAATATGTTTTATTACATTCGATGATATATCAAGAAGCCGCAGCAATGACTTTTCGATTTAACGCCTTCTCTTCACGTCGTTTCGAGATAATCAAGAATCGTGCCACGTTCACCTGTCGTCCGATCTACACCTGCTACAAAATCTCGTTTTCCCCGTCGACGACATCTGCTCTTTCTGAATTTTCAACGTATCCATAGGGTTTTAAGGATAATTAAATTTTGCGCTCTGTTTCAACCAAGATTTTTCATATGATATTAATAAACGAAAGAAATAAAGAGTGAAAAGGTTATTGTTGATTCATGTCGAGTAAAATATTACGAAAGAATATGAATTTATTCCGTTATTTTATTACCAATGATTTATGTAATATCAGAATAAACGGAAATGAAGAAAAATTTATAACGGATAAGAGAAAAAGAACTTTCAGACGACTCACGGAATTCGATTCTTCAGTTTCGCGTTGAATGGCTGACGTTGTAATGTTATCCGGAAACGTGATTCGAATTTCAATTTCAGAAAGTCATTCTATTGTTCTTGGGTCAGGAAGGTAGATCGCGCTTAAATAAAACATCTCTGAGTAAAACGAGATTTGGCAAAGAAAGATACAACGAGACGAAGAAAAAAGGGAATAATAATCTTACAGTTGGTAGATTATTCGAGTCTTGTGCGTAGCGATACGTCTCTTATGTTTAGCGTACACACCTGAGGAACGTGCAGGCACGCGACATTCTCAAATCAGACTCTCGTTGTTTCCGCGAATAAAGGATATTTCTTCTTTTTTTTTTGCTATTCCATTTTGAAATTCTTTGAGTGTATACAAATCGAATAAAGAAAAATAAAACTACGCTTTATACGATAATATCAGATATTTGAATGTATAAGTTTGAATATAACTTTCCAAATATTTTGATTTTGTTTTTGTTTATATTGTTATTCTATAGGTTTTTATTCTAACCTATAGAAGGTTTTCATTCTAACCTTTATTCGATATGATTAAAAACATTAGTTTTGTTAGTTGTGATAAGACGTTTTTATATCATACAGGTATTAGCGTTTCTTACAATAATAATAATTTGCGTTACGTTCAAATCGTATAACTATATTATTATTTTTCTTATAAAGTATATGTTATCGACATTCGATAATCAACGAGCGTCGGTATATTAGGGTGTAACTACTATCGACGTATAATAAGTTTGTTTGATATTTGTAAGTATTATAAATTCTTGATTCTTTGCGGCTCACATTGCTTTATACACATTTTGGAAAAAATATTTATTTATAAAAGATGGGTAATGCTTCATTGAAAGCAGAAGTAAAATCCGAAGGGGATAAAAAATTGAAGCCTTGCTGTGCTTGCCCTGAAACAAAAAAGGCGAGAGATGCATGGTATGTTACATTACGATATTAATAGGTTATATCATATTAACAGAAATAAAAGGAAAAGTTTAAAAGATTGATTTTTCTTAAAAATTTTCTTTTATTTTGAATTTGTACTGATTTGGATATGTATAATTTAATTGAAATGATTATTAAAAAAAAAAAATATATATATATTTTATATTTTATACGATATTAATAGGTTATATCATATTAACAGAAATAAAAGGAACAGTTTAAAAGATTGATTTTTCTTAACAATTTTCTTTTATTTTGAACTTGTACTGCTTTGAATGTATATAATTTAATTGAAATGATTATAAAAAAATATATATATATATATTTTATATGTAATATTAATAAAATATATTATTTTAATATTAATATTAATAAAAATATACATTTGTATTGCAGTATTATAGAAAAGGGAGAAGAAAATTGTAGAGAACTTATAGAGGCTCATAAAAGCTGTATGCGTTCAATGGGATTTAATATATAATACATCAAAGAGTAAATTATATTTTGTAACTTTCATCGATGTAATTATTATTACAAAAATGCTGTGGTTACAGATATTGTTCTGTATTTATTTTTATTTGTAAATAACTTAGTATTATGTAAAATAATTTAAAAAGTAAATATACAAGTTTAAATTATAATAAAATAACTAATGTTATTTTTATGTTATGTATCTATGTTATATCATATGATATGCAATGTTATTGCATAATATGTTTATAAGATTACAGTAGTAGAACGATGAAATATATACAATGAACAACTATATTGTTTACTTCTTATACAACCAATTTTTATTTACTTATACCAAAAGTGATTAATAAATTATTCTTAATACAATTATTCATTACGTTAACAAAAAGAGCTCCTTCTATACTGATATTCATTTACTATATTGTGATCTGTATCTTGCCATGGTTGAAATTTTAAAATAATGTTAATAATTTAATCTAAAGCTTTGGCTATAAAAAAAAATGTATAAATAAATATAAATTAGAAACTTAACATTGAGACCACTTTAGGAATAAAATAATATTATAAAACTATATTACAATTTTAATGTTCTTGTAGAATATATAACCCATAAATTTATCTTTTATAGTCTAAAATGTATTGTTATGAGAGCTTGGAAATAAAAAGCAAGATCCTGTTGGGAATTCTAACAAAGCATATATTTTAATTTAACATGTGGCTAATGCGAAAGTTTTTACTCTTGCATAACAATTCCACAGTTTGGTTTCCCTGAACATTCCATAATAATGAACAGATCTTTAATTGATTCATGGCAAAATCTGTTACATATGTATAATAATTATTTTTGTTTAGTTGCCATCAGTCATAGTTATTGCTGGTGGTCCTATTGAGCCAAAAGACAAATTTACATATGACTGGTGCATCATAAATATTGAAATTATAAAACAATGAGTGACACTTTCATTGTGATAAATTGTCACTTTTTTTAATGGTCTCCGCAAGAATTTTAACTATAATAAATAGACCTTAATAGTATCTCAGTATAATTTCTGAAATATGATAAGAGTAATAAAAAGAATTTGCTAATTCACGTAACGATTAAGTATATAATATAAATAACAAGTAAATGGACTGTAGTTTCGTTTTTTTCTCATTCACAGCATTGCATTGGACTTATGAGCTAGGGCACGGTTAGTCTTAAGTTAATTGAATAATTAAATAGAATATTTGTAATTAGTATGAAAGTAGTTGTACTTTATATGTGAGTGAGTGAAATGTGATGTAAAATGTGCAAGTGTGTCTTTGTGTGTAAATATATAGGGTACAGGTATATGGACAGAAACATTTCTTTAGATGCTCCCAATTATACAGAAGCTATTAATCAATATACGTCCAAGAATAATTTTGTTTGTCATATAAAATTTTACTATACTGTTTATATGTGTGTATGTGGTTATGTACGTATGTATGTATATATACATACATATACATATATATATATATATATATATATATATATATATGTGCATGTATATATCTACTGGCATTCAATATCGAGTGAAAATTGACAGCATTTTGATACAAAGGTATATCATACACAAAGAGACAGAGAGTAAGACAATACTGCATTGACATCGATATTGGAGCATCTCTAAAAATGTTTATGATAGACGAACGATCAGCATTAAATAATCGCATCACAGCTACGAAAGAGTTTTGTTTTCCAAGCTCTGCCAGGACGCTTTTTTAATTGGTATAATCGATCGCCATAGGAGGATTGGCCGGATCGAAGTTAACACAGCCAGTTTAAGTACGACGAAAATTTAGTAGAACATGTTGAATAAGGAATGGCAATGGAATTATAACCATCTTTTAATAGTTTTATCAGTAAATTTTCATATATCCTTTTACTCGTACATGATAATAAAGGTGCTTCCAGAAGTAGTAATAATTTTATCAGAATATAATTTACATGGAACACCATAATTTCGTAAAGAATTAGAATTTTTTGTGCTTGAAAAATTTAATAAGCGAATTGTACCAAAATTTTGATATAATCTTAATTCTGAAATTTTTTTACCGCGACGCACGCATAAAACACATAATGTGTCAAGGAGCCAGTTCGTTATTCATGCTAGTAATGCAAGAATATATTATTACATAATCATTTTGCTGCTACTATAATGGAGGCAAGTATACTAGTGATAAACCTAAAGCATTGCGGTCACGTAATTTCAAGGATGCTGGACAAGAACGGTTTGAGGCAGTCTATTATCTTCGGGCACGGTTGTGCTTTCATTTGGACCAGCAACTCTCACCTATCTTGTGGAACACGCATGGAACGTAATACTTTACTTTGCTGTAAATTATAATGTAAGGGTATTTATATTTATAATTTTTTGAAATTTTACGAAGTTGAAAAGCTATAAAGTTGGTGACTTTGCTACAAATGTTTAAAATGAATGTTTTCCGTTTTAAAAAATAGAATAAACTTACTTGGTACTGTTCTTCCGTATCCATAATTCCAGTTACAGCAACTACTTGATACTGTCTAGCTTTCATCGCAGCAGTTGATTTACGCACAAGTCGCATTGCACCAGGTGCACTGCTCGTACTATTAAATTGTGCCATTTGTGATGGACTGTGACTTGGATCTAATACTAACATAGTTATAGAACCATCTCTTAATCGTTCTACACCCATTATTGTTCTGCTATGGCCTAAAAATATATTTAATTTACATTACATTAATTATATTTTAAATATATTTAATATATTTAAAATACAATTCCTTTCAATAATTACCTTGATGTTGCAAATAAAGTGGTGGTTTAAAATCGTCACATCTCTGGAAATATTGTAATACCCAATTAAACATTTCAGGATGTCCTCCATCAACACTGGTGGGTCTATGGAAGTCTACTAGCTGACATCTGTATAATACAAATTTTATGTTATATAACCAATGGAATAGAAAAATATCATGGAACGTACTTTATTTTTAAACTGGATAACAAAGTTACGACTTCCGTAGCACCAATCCATTTCCTAGTGTTCATAAGTTTACCACCAAGTTGCTCAGCACCTTGAATATCAAAACCTTGAGCCCAAGCCCATTCTATCATTTTCTGGAGCCTAGATATGGAGGGCATAGAACTACGCAAAGGATTGTCAGTGGTACTTCCACTATCAAGGCCAGAACTCCAAGCTTTGTACACTAACTCATTGTATCCAGTATGCTGTAAAAGAGATGAAATCAACATTTGCATATTCCTATAACCACATCCCCAGCCTTTGTCTCCGTAAGTAGAAGCATAATGATCCACTGTAGAACACATCCATGTATTTACTACATTACTGCATGTTTGACTAACAGCTCTTATCTTGGGAACCAGCCCTATAACAACATTGTTGTATATATCATTCGATATAAAGATGTTTTTCAATATAAAGATAAAATCTTACCACGTGTACAAGAACTGCTATCATCGATACCACTGCTTTCAGCAACCGTTAACCCTGTTTGTCTTTCATAAAAATCTGCTACCGTCATTTCGCCCGCAAGGACGGCACGTTGCATATTAGTTACACTTTGCTCTCTGAAATTACCCTGATTGTCCATTCCATATTGTGCTCGCAACATTTCAAATTCACGTTGTTCACGTAATTTTCTAACTTCTTTTTCTCGCCTTTCCATATCTTTTGCCAACATTCTATCTGTTGAAAGATCTGGTGTTATGGGAGATGGAGTATTTTTTTTGTTAAAATGTTCTTCGATGTGTAACGTTAGGTCGTCATTATTTTTAAACGATGTACTGAGACAAACTGGACAGGGAGGTGTATCACTACCAATAGTAGCCAGATCAGATTGCAATGCTGTTCCATTTGCAGGACTAATAAATATATGTTCGTTTACATTACTTTTTTATCATGGTTAAATTGTGACAAATAATCTCTTATGTAGTAATCTTAAAGATAAATTACCTGAGTATATCTTTGTGTTCAATATTAACATGTAATTCAAGATCAGAGGAATTAGGAAACGATGTTACACATAAAGGGCAGTTGAAGACTCCATCTTTAGTTGGAGGTGACGAAGGTGGAAAAGATGGAGAAGTGAGATCAAAATGTTGTCGATTGATATGTTCTTCTAGTCTTAATGGACTGTCTGAACTATATGGACACATTGGACATTCCTGAACAGCTAATTTAGGAGAAGCATGTGAGCGTAATTGAAGATTTAGGCCAGAGCGCAATGGAGATCCATGGCCTGCCGAACCTTCCAATACTGAAAAGATTATATTATAATTTCTCAGAAATATTAAGCATTATATTAATATCACTCAAATCTTACCGCTATTAGCATTACTGTTGTCGTTGTTGTTATTGTTATTGTTTACATTGGGACTGGCAGCTGGTGCATCTAGTTTACGGGTTTTAGAATTCTGTTGTTGCTGTAATTGTTGTTGGTGCATACGAGAACTGTGAGAAGCAGCCCAACCATTTTGAAGATAAGGTGGCCTAAGAGACATAGACGGAGAAGGACCACGGCATTCGTCATGTCTATGATCCTCCATTGTAGAGTCATCATCGATAAAGGCCAGCATATCGTTTTCTGGAGTACTTTAATAATTAGAATAATCAATAATTGTTATAACTTACTTTTAAGCAAGTCTAGTATCTGATAATCATTTCTAAAAGTTTAATATGACTCATACCGTTTTCTTTTCTTTATTATATTAGCCATTTCGTAATTTTTATATCGCTTTGTAAAATATGATAAAAAACACACAACGTTTTCACATGATTTAACATATTGTGCCTAATAATATCGCCAATATTAACATGTAATGGTTAAATTTTCCATTGAACAGTTTTACCAATTTTAACAAAATACAAATAAATTTTATGTCACCATAATTACTATCGATCTTATGTTTATCATAAAACATTCATAAAACTTTAATAAGTCAACACATATTTTGTCAAATTTCATTCAAATATAATAAATCATTATT